CGATGACGAGTGGGTCTTGCTTGCGCAGGACGGCCGCGAGCGCGCCCGCGCCCGAGAACGCCTCCACGAAGACGGGCGGCGCCAGGAAACGCGCGCGGCGCGGCCCCAGCAACCTCCGCAAGGTCGCGCGCTGCGCGGCCGGCGCCAGCCCTGGCAACTGCTCGTTGACGCGCCCGGGCTTCAGGTGCTGGGCGACCGACGCGTGGGCCCGCCAGCGTCCGCGCAGCTTGGCGCTGGCCGGAGTCTGCAGGTTCGTGGCCGGCTCCACCGACGGCCCCGAATGTCTGAGCTGGCACGGCTGCGGCGTCAGCGTCGCGACGCCGACGCCCTCCGCCGCCTGCCTGAACGGGGCGCTGGCCTCCACGAGGGTGAAAGGGAACAGTGGCGCCCTTGGGCGAGGCGACGTCTTCGGCCAGCGCAAGGCTGCTGACGGGAATGCGTAGAATGGGCCACCTCGTCGTAGACCTGCGTCTTGCTTGGCTCTGCCAGCTCGCGGGGGTGGGGAACCGGCGACCAGTCGTCGCGTGCCCCTCTGGGCGGCGGGGGGGCCACGCGAGACCCCAGCGCGGCCGCTCTCGCGCAGCTCGGCGACCATGTCGTCCTACATCCGCTCGGCGGCGCTGCGGTCCAGCGAGAGCGAGGCGAAGTTGTCGATGTGCGCCTGACGCCAGGCCCGGGCAGGTCTGGCGGCCCACGATCCTTGGCGCTGGCAGCGGCCCCGCCCTTTCGGAGGCGACTCCGACGCCCGCTGACCGACGGCTAACGCATGGGTCCAACCCACGGGCAGGACCGCGAGACGCGGCCGCAGCAGCCGAGACGGCCGCCGCCCTTAAGTCCCCGCGCCCCAGCCCCCAGGCGCCCATCGGCGGGGGCGCGAAGTACGGGTGCCGAGCGAGCGGCAGCTCCACGATGTAGAACGCGTCCGCGATGTCGGCCGAGGCGGTCCACGGGTTGGCGCCGTCGGGGAGCTCGACCGCCGCCAGCGCCGCCCCCGTGGCCAGGCGGGCGTCGGCGGGCGCGCCGACGCAGAAGTTGGCGGACCCGGCGTCGACGACGAGCCGCTGCCGCCCACTTTTTTGGGGCGCGCTGAATAAGGCCCGCCTCGTCGATGACCCCACTGGCGTCGCCGACGAGGTCGACGACTCCGGCGTCGAGCAGACGCGTCGCCAAGGCGGCGCAATGACGACCGCCGCGAAGAATGGGATCCACAGCCGACGTCCTGCCCCAGCTGCAAAACTTCGGTCTTCGGCAAGACCTCGCTTGAAATATCGCGATGGGCGGGGCCGAAGATCTCGGGGTCCAGCGGCCGCTCCAGCGCCGCGGGGCGGTTGCCTGAGGGCGACGGCGAGAGCCGGGGAACGCCCGTCGCCTCCGCCCTGGTCGACGGCGAGCCGCCGCGGGACAGAGCAGCCTGGAGCTCCTGCAGGGCTGCCGAAAGCTGGAGATCTCCCAACGGGAGACCTAGGCGCGAGACTGACTCCGCAGTCCGCGACAAGCAGCGCTGCTGCGCCACGGTCATGTCAGCCTGCGGCCCCGAGCCGCCGCCGCCCCCAGCGCCGCCGAAGCCGCCGCGTAACTCCGCCGCCTGCCTGACGAGCCACGGCGCGGACGCAGCCCACCGCGCGCGCCTCCGCACGCTGCGCGAGCGCCCTCCGGCAGCCAGACCGCAGGGGTCAGCGGCGGCGGGCGCGCGCAGCGGAAAGATGCCTCGCTGCCGCTCCGCGCTCCCCCCACCGCACCTGCCACCCACATCCTCGGCGACGCAGGTCTGGTTCCGGCGGCGCCCGGGGGGGCTGGGCCAGGAGCATGATGACATCATGACTTCGCGCCTCTTGCCTTGGCCCCGGAGGTGGCCTTCGCCTCCTCCCGCCACTTGCAGGCGTTCTCCTGAGCTGGCCGACGCGTTCGAGCACCTTGCCGACCGCGCCCAGCAGCGCGGGGCACGCCATGCTGCTCGGGCGGCTGGAAGATCCGCGCCGCCCATGAAGGCGTTGATCTCAACCTGCGGCAGCTTGTGCTGGGTCGCGTCCTGCCCCCTCTGCTTCTCCTCCCAGAAGTGCCCGAAGAAATGCATGACCAGGCGCTCCACTCCGACAAGGCTCGCCGCGTTGATCACGTCCACGGTCGCGAGGTCCTCCAGCACCGTGCTCAGAGCGAGGTGCCCGACGACGCCGTAGTCCGACGTGCTGAGCCGCTTGCGCGCCTTCCAGCTCTCGCGGCGATGGATCGGCCCGCCCTCGCGCAGCGACCATGCCGCGCACCAGGCAGCCGAGCGAGGCGCGAGACTGAACTGCGGGTCGGGCACCTCTTTCGCGACCTCGGTCACGGAGAGCCAGCTGCGCGGACCGCCACTGCCAGGAGTGCGCGCCAGGGTGCGAGGGCCCGTCCCCCGCCATTTCGCGAAGAAGTCGGCCCGGCGCCAATCCTCCAGGATGAAGGCCACCGCCGAGATCCCCCCTCCGAGCGTGACGATCCCGCGCCTCCCGGCCCGCGCTGCCAGCACGATGCCCGCGATCAGCCCGACCTGCAACGCCGAACCGAAGGGGGAGGAGTCGACGTCCCTTGCGAGCACCCAGGCCCAGCCAGCGGGCGCCTCACCGTTGGTCCCCAGCGGGGGGCATCCGTCGTCCTCCCACCCCGGCCCAGGCGGCGCTCCCACAGCAGGCGGAACTCTCGCAGCCATTGGCACCCCTGCAGCGGGAGCGGCCAGCGGTGCAGGCGGCAGAGCGGCGGGCGCTGGAGGCCCAGCGGCGGCGCCCGCGCCGGCGGTTGCGGGACCCGCGGCGGCCAGCGCGGCAGCAGCGGCCCGAGGGGCCGCGGCGGCGCCCACCAGCGCCCCGCCCGCGGCCGCTGGGGGCCCCGCCCTTGGCAGCAGCCCGCCCCTCATGGGGATGAGCGCCTTTCAGGCGGGACGGGCACTCCAGGGTGACGGCGGCCGAACTCGGCGCCCGCCTCGGCCCTCGCAGCGGCCAGCCAGGCGGCCTCGCGGGCAGCCGACGGGTCCCGCACGAACCTGCACGTGGCGTCCGGAGCGATCCCAGGCGGCGGCGGCCAGCGAGCAGCACACAAGCGCACCGCCGCGATGTCAGGTCCCGCAGCCAGCAGGCGCTCGGCATACACCATGTCGTCGGGAGTCGCGATGGCCACATCATCCGTGAGCGCCAATTGACCTACCACCCTCCTCTGGTGGAAGAACGGGGCGCCAGCCCACGTTGTACAAAACCCACGCCCAGGCTTCCGCCATCGCCAATGCCAGCCAGCGCCAGTCGTGGAGGAGGGCCGATCGGAGCCTCCGCGCGAGACACAACGGCGGCTGTCGCCCGGGCCCGCGCCTCAGCCGCCAGCCGTGAAGCGGAGCGGCCCCCCGAGGCGCAGCACCGCGATGGCAGCCAGCGTTCCGAAAGAGACGCGAGCCAGGCCCGCTGCCACGCAAGCCAGGGTGACCGCGCCCGCGGTCGCGCCCACTGTTGCGCCAAGGCAAGGCGGGCAGGCTGGGCACGCGGGTCAGGGCGGGATCTCGGTCTCAAGGCAGCGAGTGACCCAGGCCTGCAGTGCTGGCACACCCCACCGATCCAAGACTTTCGGCAAGCCCTCCGGGAAGCCCAGCCAAGCCATGCACCGCGGCCTGGCCGCGGACCCAACTCGCGAGCCGAAGGCTGCGGAATGCAAGCGTTCGGCTTCTGCCCCCCTCTAAAGGCATTCAACTTCGAAAGAGCATGGTGATGATGCTGATGATGCTGATGGTTATAATGCTGATGATGTTGCTGATGATGGTGATGATGATGATGGTCATGATGATTGCATGCACCAGGCAATCAAGCTGTGCGCACAGAGCGGAGCTCGGCGTGTGGTCAGCTATGATGATGGAGCGAGGGGACGAGAAATATATTGCATGAAATGCCTAGTGCCGGGTGCGCACATCACTAGATCAGCCTAACCAGCGCTTGCTGTTGTGGCCAAGGTGGCCTGGAAACGTCAGTTCCCATCGAAACACTCCTGCGGATGCGAGATCCTATTGGAACGCTTCTCTGGAGGCTAGTGTACCAAAGACTGCCTTTGAGTAGCACGGGGTCTGGAAGGGGCGGTGTCCGAGGATTGGGCGCGGCAGGGGCCAGCGTGGCGCGATATCCAGAGAAAGACACCAAATGCGCGCGCCACGACGCACGCCTGCTCCCAAGAGGCCCCCAGGACGCCCCCAGAAGGCCCCCAAAACTGTTCTCCGGAGGCCTCCGAGAACGCCCAGAAGAGACCCTGAAACAGAATCCCCGAAGACCTCTGAGCCACGTCAGCGTCGTCGTCGTCGCCGCCGCCGCCGCCGCCATCGTCGTCGTCGTCGTCGTCGTCGCCCCCCTTCAAGGTCGGCGGCACCGGCCGTAAGGCCTTCGCAATGTGCGCGCCACGACGCACGCCGGGGCCTGGCCTACCACGAGGGCAAACGTCGAGCGAATGGCGATTGACTGGGCGATGAACGCATGATGGGTGCCTTTTCTTTTCCTCCATTGCGGCCGGCCGCAATCTTTCCGAGAAGTCTCGAAACCCATCCATGTCTATGGACCCTGCTCTTCTACGCTCTGCGCGCGCCTCCAGTAATGATTACTGGGTAATCTACACACTGGCAACCTGGCGGCTTGAGTAGCGGGAGGCGCGGGAAGGAGGGGAGGGGAAGGACGGGGAAACGCAGAGAGGCGAGGGGGGGGAGAAAGGGCAAAGGTATTGGAGATAGAGAAAGGGGCAAAACCCCGTGACCCGACAACTCGGGCGGCATTTCCGCATCGAGCTCTTGAGGAACGTTCTGAAGGTATTGCTGCTTTGCCGGCTGCCGTCCCTCCCCTCCCCCATCCCTTCCCTTCCCTCCCCCCCGTCCCCCGCATCAATGGCCTCCGGTGTCTGACGACATCGGAGGCCATGGCCGATTCCCTCTCGCCTCTCGCCTTCACCCTCGGCCTGACTCCCTTCGCCGTCCGCCGCGCGCGCTGGGCCCAACATGGCACAATCGCGCCCTAAGCGCAGAGCCTCTTAGCAGACACCGCCTGCCTCAGAAGATTTAGACATTCAGCCACCTCTTCAGGGGCCCTCGCACTCAGAAAGGCCAAACGATCTTCGCTGCCACGCTTCGGCAAGAGGAACTTGCGGCACAAGCCGCAAGGGTCGCCGTTCATGACGGCAAACGCCGTGACGTAGCCCGGCGGCACGAAGAGCATCTGCCCCGCCTGCACAACGGCGTGGTAGAACTGGGCACCGTGCTCGGTCAGCCCCGACGCGTCCTCAAGGAAGTCCCCCCGTGGCAAAAAAATGTCTTCCGCCGTTTCCTCCTCCTTCTCCTCCGCCTCCTCCCCCATCCTCCTCCTCTTCCATTTGCTCCTATCCCTCCTCCAGCCCTCCCTTCCCCACTCCTCGCCCTCTAACTCTTCGTCCGTTTCTTTTAGCTCTCCTCCTCCTCCTCCTCCTCCTCCTCCTCCTCCTCTTTATCCTCCTCTTCCTCCTCATCCTCCCCCCCCCCCCGAGTTTTGGATTCGAGGCCTAACTGGCAAGGCCTCAATGGTCTAGCGGGCCAGCTCTTCAAAAAACTCACGCCGCCACTGACTTGCCTGGGGCGCCCAACATGACCCACGCCAAATATTCCCGCACATATCTAATGGCGAAATCGCACGGATGAAGAACCACTGGCGTCCTTTTGATGATGCCGAAGTCCCCTTGGCTAGGCGGGATCGCTGGATTTACGGGCCAATCCAACAACCTGGATCACGAGATTGACAAACGAGCGACGGGGCAACGACAGAGACGGATGCATCGCCAACAATTTTCGCCGACGCATCACCGACGAAATGATTTCCTGGACGCGGCGGCCTGCCGCGCACCGGCTGCAAGAAGACGGGAATTGGGCGCGACGATGGACACGAGGACACATGCGAGGACGAGGACGCGGCGCATGAGCCAGGAGGGGCCTCCCTTCTCAGAACCCGGCTCCGATATTTGGCCGAATCAATTGCAAGTCCGCCCAGGTTTTCCCCATTGACTTTTCTCTCATCCCCCCCCTCCCGCCGCCCAGTTCTTTAGAGAGACTCTCCGAATCATATCCGGTTCCGCCCCTGACCCCCCTCCCGGCCTCCTTCTTGGCCAGGGAACTCAGGATAGACTTCGCATGCGCCAACGTGTTTTTGCCAACCAGCCCATCGCGCACGTCCGCCGCCTTCAGCAGGTCGTCTGCTGCAGCGCACACAACCTTCATGCAGCCAGAGGTGATCAGCCTGCTGGGCCGCATGATTGCACCCCCTGGACAACTGTGTTCGCCTTGCGAATTCAGACTAGTGCTGTGAGAGTGACGCGCTACACGGGGTCACAGAGCACCCATCCAAGTCAATGTTCTCCTCTCCCCCGCACCGTTCCTCATTCCTCCGCTTCCTCCCCCTCTTCTACCGCTTACCCTGTGGTGCACAAGCTGCCCCATTTTTAAACTCGCCAAGTCGCCTCATGCTCCCGAGGTAGTGCGGCTCGGCGCCGATGCGCACGTAGTGGCCGCTGAAACCCATGAGGAGGACCGTCTCCAAGTCATGCGCCGCAGCCTCGTGCGGGACCGTGTCTACCACGGCGGCCTTGCCGACGAAAGCGGAGAACAAGGACTCCATGTCCGCCAAGCCCTGGGGGCGCGCCCGGGACCGGGGGCGCGCGCGGCTACACACCCCTACGCTCCCCGGCCTCCGAAATGCGCCGGGGCTGCAAGACCCACGTGTAAGGAGCAAGCGCACCTCAGCAAGTGCGGGCGGGCAAGCCGTCGGCCCTGGCCCCGAAGAAAAGGAGGAGGGCGACGACGACGACGAGAAAAAGAGGCAGGGGGGCGACGAGGGAGGAGGAGTGGGGAATAGGAAAAAGTGGGGAGGTGGGGAGGCGGTGACGGGGAGTGCGGCTAAGCCCCACGGCCTGCTCCTGCACCAACGCATGCTGGAAGCTGTCTCCCTGGGCCAAGGCGCCCTTGAACCCCGACTTGGACTCCCAGAGGTCCAGCACGCCCGTCTTCTCCTTGTTCCTGCGAGAATGCGTCTAATCACATCCCCTCTTGGGGCCTCTTGGAACCTTCTTGGGGGGCTCTTGGAACCCTCTTGGAGCCCACAAAACACCGTCGTCGTCGTCGTCGTCGTCGTCGTCGTCGTCGTCGTCGTCGTCGTCGTCGTCGTCGTCGTCGTCGTCGTCGTCGTTCTCGTCGTCTGAGGGAATTTCTGCCCACCCCCGTGGGGGCACAAATTCCCTCACTGTCTCTCGTCGTCGTCGTCGTCGTCGTCGTCTTTGGAGCATTCTTGGGCCGTCTTGGAGGCCTTTTGGGAGCCTCTGGGGCCCTTGTGGGGCGGTCTTGGGTGCCGAACAGACGCCTACGGCGAATCACCGCCGCCCCTAGCATTTTTGGAAACGCCGATGTGGACGAAAGTTGGGCTAGAGCTTGGCCAAGCTATCGGACCATGAGTTCCCCGAGTCGGTTTGGAAAGCCTTCGGGGAACATGTGGGGGAGAATGAACACGAAGAGGAAGAGGAAGAGGAAGAGGAGGAGTAGGAGGAGGCCTCTTGGGAATCTCTTGGGGCACTCTTGGGGCTTGCTGGGAGCCTCCTGGGGGCCTCTTGGAAGCCTCTTGGGGGCCTCCTTGGGCCTGCTGGGGGCCTTCGGTGGTTTCTTGGGGCCCTCTTTGGCCGTCTTAAGGCTTTCCTGGTCCGTCTGACGCCGTCGGAAGCCGTCTTGGGGGCCTCTCTGAACCGACTTGGGGCCCTCTGGGGGCGCCTCAGGGCCGTCTTGGAGGCCTCTTGGGCATCTTGGAGGCCTCTTGGGCCGTCTTGGGATCCTCTTGGCCCCTCGGTGCTGAGCGAAAACTTCCCGAGGTCCCAAGGCCCAGGGACAACCCCGGAAAGACTCAGCCTGTCAACTCTTGTGGCTGAGGGCGCGACCCTTTTTGAACATTTTAAACCCTCAGGAAGCATCCGGAAGGTCGAGTTGCTCTCCAGGCGTTTGATGCTGTCGCTGCTAGTGACGACGAACGGGTCCAACAGAGCCTCGATCTCTGGTGATCCCTCGTCGCATTGGACGATGCGGTGGCCGATCTGCTCCCACTCTAGGAAGAAGACGGCTGTCTGGTCGGTGTACTTCAAAGCCCGCCGAGCCTCGTCCGCCTTCTGGCCGATCGCCTGACTCGCTTTCGCCCTCTGTTCGGTCTCAGCCTTGCGCCGGGCAGCATCGTCCTGGGATTTGCGCGCGCGCACCTTTCTCGCCAACGCGTTCTTTGCGTCGACGATGGAAGTGCAGACCTGGGCGACCTGCTGGCCCCAGGCTTCCAATGCTTCCTTTTTCTTGTCAATGGCCTTGACCTCCTGGCTGGGGTCGCCCCGCCAAAGGGCGGGGGAGGAGGAGGAAAGGAGGAGGGGGAGGGCGACGAAGACGACGACGATGAACAGGTTTCCGCCTGTCGATTGTAGAATTATCGGGGTGGTCAACAGCAGCGCCGCTACGACCAGAAACTAAGGTGCCACTCGGATTGCCGAAGATACCGCGCACGGGAAAAAGGACCAGGAGGGAGAGGGGGGAGGGAGAGGGGAAGCCACTGGAAATGCTGGAGTGACAAACAATAACGCTGTGACGACATAAACATTGGGGCCGCTGGAACGACCGCTTCCTCTTCCTCCTCTTCCTCCTCCTCCTCCTCCTCCTCCCTTGCTTTCTCTGCATTTCTCCCTTCCTCCAGACGCGGTGTCCTTGGAGTTCTTGATGTCTTCAATGAGACAGTGGGCGAACGTGACGGGCTCGAACGAGTCGATAGACTCAACTGGCAACAGCTCGAAGCAGGACACGTACCATTGCAACAGCTTATTCTGCAAGTTGTGCCTCATGCGAGTCTTGTTGCGATCGCACAGGGAGCTCATCTGGAAACGGCTGGCGATGGCGAGCAACTCCTCCCAGATGTCATCCGGGCTCTTCACGGCGCCGGCACCCTCCTCGGAATGGTAACGGCCACGCGGTTGGGCAGCAATGCATAAGGGTGGAAAGGGATAAGTAAGAAGAGGGGCTGGGTGGGACGCCCTCCCAGCAAGCGTGTCAGACAAAATGTTGCTGGCTCAGCTATGCTGCTACAGTCGAGTTTTTTTTTGTTTCACGCGGGGGCGGGGGCGCCTGCTCATGCGGGCGGCAGCGTGCTCCACGTGCGCAATAATGTGCACGTGGCCGTGGCAGATCACAGGTCGGGGGGCTTTGGGCTCCAGCATAGCATGGGGAAAAACAGTTTCCAGCCCCCATCGAATACATCCTCGTTCCTGGAGGCTCGGCTCAACATGGGGAGAGGGTCCTGGACATAAAGGGAGTCTGGATCCAAGGGGGGTCCAATTGAGTTTCTGGATAGAGGAGGGTGTCTGGATTCAAGGGGGGTTCTTAGTCGACCGGGCGGGTGCAAGAATGCTTGGACACATGACTTGGATGGGCGGGGGCAGAGGAAAGCGAAGAGGTAGTATCCTGCAAAGCATGCTCCAAGGTCGACTCAAGGGCCGCCTCAACCTCCTCCTGGCTCACATCCTTACCGACGGGCCTTGGGGAACCGAGGGCGGCCCCCCCGGGCGAGGACGGCCGCGTTGCCGGGGCTGGCGACGGGGCGGCCGACGCTGGCGCGCCCCCCGTCATCGGCGTCGCAGGCGCGACCCCAATCATCGTCATCGGCGTGCCCGGCACCTTCCCGGCGGCCGTGGCGGCCGCGTGCCACTCCGCCCACTTCTCGCCGATGGCCCTGAGACCGTCGGCGAGCTCGAGCGCTTCCTGCGCGCGAGCGGAGGACTGCTCCGATTCGCCAATGTACCCGACGGGCAGGTCCCACGACGGCTGGCCCTCGACGAGCATTGGCTTGCCATCTGCGCCCATCGATCCGCCACCGCGCCTTCAGCGCGCGATGGGGTACCCCCTGGTCCCGGATGGACCCCGCGATGTTGCCCCGCCCCCAAAGCCCGCCCCTCCCTTGGCCGAGCACGCCATAAATCTATGACCCCAGAACCTTAGACTCCAACAGCCGCTGGCATTACGCATGGCCGTCGAAACCAAAGAACCCCGCCAGCCCTGTGCGGCGTGGGGTGGTCTGGGGAGCTCCCTCTTCCATCTGAACTGACCCCTCCCCCTGCCCTCTCCCCTGGCCTTCCCCGCAAAGACCCTGCAAAGCCTCGCATGCAATCACCCCAGCAACACTCTGCAAACCAGACCCCTGCAGTACCCTGCAAAGAACTCATTGGGTCCTCTTGTGGTCCTAAGACGGCCCCCTGCGGGCCCCAAGGAGCCCCCCAAGGGGCCGCCACCCGTGCCTTATGTGCATGACAGGATATCTAACCCCCACCCCCGATCACGGGCCCCCCTGGCACCCCCAAGTGGTCGACGGCACCTTGATATGTGGGCTGACGGAAGGAAGGAGGAGGGAAAGGAGGGTAGAGAGATTGGGGAAGGGGGGAGGGAGGAAGGAGGAGGGAGTAGGGGAGGATGAGGGAAGAGGGGGTACAGCGTTTCCCAGGGGCTCCCAGAGCCGCAGGGCAGATGTCCAAAACGTTCTCCCTGTGGCATCGGACTTATGATGCCTTTAGTCTTCAAATGCATCCGACTTAAGAAACTCAAAATCTTAAGTCCGATGCCTTTCGGCCACAAGGCGTCGGACTTAAGATGCCCAAAGCTTTCGTCCTGTTGCATCGGACTTAAGATTCCCAAAACGTTCTCCCACTGGAAGAACGCTTCGGTCATCTTCAGTCCGATGCCTTTCGGTTTCGAACGCATCGGGTTTAAGATGCCCAAGACGTTCTTCCTGTGGACGAACGCTTTGGGCATCTTAAATCCGATGCCTTTAAGCCTCAAATGCATATGCCTTCAGATGCCCAAAGCGTTCTTCCCGTGGCACCGGACTTAAGATGCCAAAAACGTTCTTCCCGTGGCACCGGACTTAAAATGCCCAAAGTGTTCTTCCTGTGGACGCTCGCTTTGGGCATCTTAAGTCCGATGCCTCTAGGCCCCAAAGGCATCGGACTTATGGTGCCCAAATCGGTTTTCCCGTGGCATCGGACTCCAGATGCCCCAAGCGTTTATCCACTGGAAGAACGCTTTTGGCATCTTAAATCCGATGTCTTGGCTTTCAAAGGCATCGGGCCTAAGACGCCCAAGCTGTTCTTCCGCAGGAAGAACGCTTTGGGCGTCTCAAATCCGACGCCTGCCGGCCGCAAAGGCATCGGACTTAAGATGCCCAAGGCGTTCTTCCCGTGGCATCGGGGTTTAAAGATGTCTTTAGGCTTCGAAAGGCATCGGGCTTAAGATGTCCAGAGCGTTCTTCCTGTGGCATCTTAAACCCGATGCCTTTAGGCTTCACAGGCATCGGACTCAAGATGTCCACAGCGTTCTTCCACAAGAAGAACGATTTTGGGCATCTTAAGGCCGATGCCTTTGGGGCATAAATGCATCGGCCTTCAGATGCCCAAAGCGTTCTCCATTTGGCATATTAAATCCGAAGCCTCTGAGACTTCAAAGACAAACGATTTGGGCACCCTAAGCCCGACGCATTCAGGCCTCAAAGGCATCGGGTTTAAGATGCCGAGAGCGTTCTTCCTGTGGCATCGGACTGCGGTGGTAGTAGTACGACTATTGCTGCGTCGAGGCACGAGAATAACGGACGCTTAAGGACACGACGGAAACGGACGCTTAAGGACACGAGGAGAAGCGACGCTTAAGGGCACGAGGAAAACTGACGCTTAAGGACACGACGCAAACGGACGCTTAAGGACACGAGGAAAACAGACGCTTAAGGACACAAGACAAGGGAGGCTTAAGGACACGAGGAAGACGGACGCTTAAGGACACGAAGAAAACGGACGATTAAGGACACGACGACAACGGACGCTTAAGGACACGAGGACAACGGACGCTTAAGGCTACACCACCTAGTACAACTTCTACTACTACGACTGCTATGACTACTGGTGCAACTACGTCGGCCACTACTACTACTACCACCACCACCACCACCTTACTACTACTACTACTACTACTACTACTACCAACTCTACTCTGGGCATATTGAATCCGATGCCACAGGAAGAGCGGCCCCTAAAACATCCCTAGCGCACGGCCCCTGCGACATCCCTCAGGCACGGCCCCTGAAACAACCCTAAAGCATGGCCCCTGAAACATCCCTAAAGCACGCCCCCTGGAACCCCCCTTAAAGCACGGCCCCTAAAACATCCCTGAATCACAACCCCTGAGACACCCCTCAAGCACGGCTCCTGAAAGATCACTAAAGCACGGCCCCTGAAACTTCCCTAAAGCATGGCCCCTGAAACATCTCTATGGGCAGACATGGTCGTTCGGGCCCCTCGGTTCTCGGTCGGAGGTGAGTCGCTCGGGCCCCATCACTTCTCGGTCGGGGGTGAGTCGTTCGAGCCCCTCGGTCCTCGGTCGGAGGTGAGTCGTTCGGGCCCTCGGTTCTCGGAAGGAGGTGAATCGTTCGGGCCCCTCGATTCCCGCTCGGAAGACCGAGAACCGAGGGGCCCGAACGACTCACCACCGACCCAGAACTGAGGGGCCCGAACGACTCACCCCCGACCAAAAACTGAAGGGCCCGAACGCTTACCTCCGAGAACCGAGGGGCCCGAACGACTCACCTCCGACCGAGACTTTCGGGGCCCCAAGAAGGCACCAAGAGGGCTCCAAGAGGGCCCCAAGAGCATTCCATTTCTCAGCCACTTTGCCTCCTGGGGCCTCCTGGGGCCCCCTCTCTCTGGGCCCTCCTGCCCCCTCCTAGGGCTCCTCGGGAGCCCTCCTACCCTGTCCAGGCCCCCTCTGGGGGCTCCAAGAGGGTTCCAAAAGGGCCCGAAGAGAGCTCCAGGAGGGCACCAAGAGGGCCCCGAGCCTTTCCTTCTCGTCCTCATCCTTCTCTTCCTACTCCTCCTTCTCTTCCTCATCATCGTATGCGCCATCCCTTTCCCCACTCCTTCATCCATCCATCCAGCCTCCTTCTCCTCCTCCCTCCTTCGCGCGGTTCGGAGATCCCCTTCTTTGCTCCCGCACTTCCTGATCACCTCAATGCGCCAGGGCGTTGTTCATGGATAGGCTGGTGGGGATAAGCGAATCGCCAAGAATTCCCCCATTGGAGGAGGAGGGGGAGGAGGAGGAGGAGGAGGAGGAGGAGGAGGAGGAGGAGGGGGAATGCCAGGAGCTAACATTTGTGCTTCAGGAGCGAGCGGCCGCCGACAGCGCAGGAGACCTGATTCGCACGCTGCACGCTGCGCTGCGCGAGGAGGAGCAGGAGGAGCGCCGGTCGACCGAGGATGTGAGAAAGACAGAAGAGTGGGCACGAGGGCGAAGAGCGGGCAAGAGGGCGAAGAGAAAAGAAAGAGAGCCCCACTCAACCGCAACGGCACAAGCCAGAAAAAGCGACAATCGCCCCGGACTCGGGCACTCAGGACAGAAAGGCGACAATAGCCCCGGGCTCGGAGGAGCGCCACTACCCCAAGATGTCTTCATCCCCTTGATAAACACCTCTGACGAGGAAGAGCAGGAGGAGGAGGAGGAGGAGGAAAGGAGGTGGAGGAGGACGAAGACGAGGAATCCCACCAGACCTTTGGGGCGTGAGTGGTCTCAAGAGCTCGCTCTGCTAAACCCCCTTCTTCCCCTTCGGGGAGGGGGTTCCCACTCCCCCTAACCCCCTCCCCCTGGTCCTGGACGGGGCGCCCCGCGAGGCGTTGTAGCGCCCAAAATGGTTTAAGATGGCTCCAGGAGTGCCCCCAAGAGCTCAATATGGCCTCCGAGATCGCGGAAGGTATCCCAAGATGGCTCAAGATAGCTTTCAACATGCCTCCGGTGGCTTTCAACGTGCCTTCGCGCCGCGTCACCTCTGTCACGCGCACATCAGGACGGAGAAGTTTCGTGATTATTTCGTGCCGCGTGACCTCTGTCACGCGCGCGCCGTGACGGAGAGGTTTCGTGACAATTTCGCGCCGCGCCACCTGTGTGAAACCTGGGGGCGCGCGGCAAGCAAACCATCCGAAGGGCGAGCCAGGGCTATCTCCCAGGCACTGCTGCACAGGTGCCCGCCGCACTTGTGCCTCTCTGAACCGTGTAATGGGCCCATGGCGCCCTCAGACGAGGGCTCCGCTTTTTCGGTGAGAAAAAAGAGCTGGAGCTGAAATTGGGGGGGAGGGGGGGGGGGGGCACGCGGGCGATCCATGCGAGGCTGAAGAGGGGCGAATATGAGAAGGAAGGATGAGGAGGGGGAGGGCGAGGCGGAGGAGGGGAGATTAGGGGGAAGGGCGAGGAGGAGGAAGAGGGGGGGAGAGAGGGGTGGATGAGTGTGGCGCTGGACAATGCGAACGCAAGCAAATGCAACGCAATGCAACGCAATGCAATACGAAGCGATGCAATGAACGGAATGAGTACATTATTATCTTTTCGTGGCCCTGGGGGTTTTTCAGCCCAAGGCCCGTGGCGGGGTGAGGGTTGGATGTCCTGTAGTGATGACAAATTGCATGCGTGCCCACTCGTGTGTATGACCAGTCTCGCGTGCGACTACTGTTCTAGATAGCCCTCCGCTCTTCGCCCATCGTTCCGTTCGCATCGCCCCCCATATGATCAGGGCAACTCGCCCCGTGAACCTGTTCTGGGGGGATGGGCTTGTGAGGATACGCGAAGCGTCAACAGATTATAAAAGTATGGCTCTGAGGCATTTGGCCTTGCAGCACGGTCGCCCTGGGGCCCCAAGCACCCGGGTACAGCGGAAACGGGCCGGAGGCCGCTGGATACCTTGGCGCCCAGCCAGAGAAGCCCGATTACCATGTTGCGGTCTAGCAAGTCCATCGACACGCCCTCCCGGCTGTACTTCCCAGTCGAGAGGGCCTCGAATGCAACGCAGATCTTCGCGCGGACATCCTTCTTGAGCTTCTCCAAGACCTTTTCGATGGCCTCCTTAGCCTCCAAGCGAAGGAGAGCAATGTCTTTCGTAGCTTTCTTGGGGTCGGCTTCCGCCTCCTCCTTGATCTCCGACTTCACCTTCGCGCCCAGGGTGGCCTCTGCCTTGGCGTGGTCGTCCGCGACCGCGCCGGATGCCGCGGCAAGCATCGACTTGGTCGTGGCCCTCTCCTGGCCCTGCTTGCCTCCCTCGAGCGTCCAGGCAGTCGCGGGCAACGGCCGTGAAAGGTCCTTCTGGTCACAAGGAATGGGCGTCATGTTGAAGCCGAAGTGGCACTCGTCCTTGATCTTCTTCTTGTCCTCGTCCCTGAGGGTGGACGCCTTGCTTGATGACAGCAACGCCTTGCTCTCGTAGGTCCCCGCCTGGCCCGTGTTCGACTCGCCACCGAACATGTTCGCCGGTACCTCCATCTGCTCCTTGCTCCACGGAGGCCCGCCCCAGTGCTTCCTCCACACTCCCCTGGCCCACTCGCACTCCCACAGCTCCAAGGCGCGGGCAGGGGTCCAGCCACGTTCCGTCTGGAGCTTGTTCGTGAAAAGCTCCTTGTCCAGAATCGGGTCCTTGTTCTCCCTGAACTGGCGGGCCTCCACGCCCTCGGAGTGGACGTACTGCGCGAGGTCGATCTTGCCGCGCTTCACGCCCGTCTTGTTGGTGCCTTCTGGGAACTGCACGCCGAAATCCGCAATCACGCGGTAGGCCGTGGTCTTGTCTTTGAAGCCTTTCTTGCGCTGCTTGTCGTCGCCGAAGATGTTGACGAAGCGCTCATTCGTACCGTCCTTCTTTGCCTCCTCGGTAATGGAGTCGCGGTAGATGCAGTCGTAGCAGCGCCTGTGCAGTCTACACATGTTCTTGTCGGAAGGCTCACCGCAAACCACACAAACCTTCTCGGCCGACTTGGGGACCGCACCCGCCCCTCCAGCAGCGGCACCGTCGCCGCGAATAGCCATCGCGAACGTGTCCCCGGCGTCCGCGCTAGGCTTCAGGCTGCCAAACATCCCGCCGCTTGTGCCGCCACTCGCCGGGGCTGCACCATCCTCTGCCCACAAGCTGGCCATGGGGCCTCCTCCGGAAAACAGATTGGGTCAAAACGCGGGGCGGCTCGTGGAGAGCACGGCTGCCGACGCAATGCAAACCTTCGAACTTGGGAGAAAGGAAGGGGAGCAGGAAGAAGGGAGAAGGAAGGGAGGATCACCACAATGATCAAATGACAATTGCTGGATGGATTCCGCTGCAAGGCCGCCGGGACGAGACGCGATGGCTTACGCAAAATCAGCGCTCGCGCGCGACCTTACGCGGGCAACTGTTACTACGGGCGCCGCTGCGCCGATGATTTTCGGAGCCGTTGCCCATGGGCGTGGTGTTTCGTTTGTTTCGTGACCACGTGCGGCAACGAGCCGTCTGGAGATTCACATGTAACCCTGGCTTCGTTCGGCACGCCGGCGGCTCCCCCTGAGGCCCCCTACTCGGCGTCGAAGACATGCCCGAGAAATGAGAAACGCAACGAAGGAGAAGGCTGGGGGATATTGCGTTGCGAAGCGGCGAGGCGAAATCTCCGAATTGACTTACTGGATCCGCCACCGTGCCCGCTGGCACGTTCCAGCGGTGGCTGGCTGGCACGGCGACAAAAATTGCCGCAGGCATTGACATGCACCACATCCCGTAACACTGGGGCCTGCCAGGCCCCCGGGCCCATCGCCCACCAGATGGGTCTGGATGGGGCTCGCTGCAAACGATGGCCAATGGCCACACCTTTTCTCAACTGTCCGCTGCTAGTGGCCCCATATTTCTTTGATGTCTAGAAATTAGCCCATGTCCTCAGCGCCGGCTCCTCTACGAGCCTGGGCAGCTGCGCCTGCGCCTCCAGTAATCTACGCACTGGCACCCGGGCGCCCCGAGTAGCGGGAAGGGCGGGAAGGAAGACACAACAACAGCATATAGCAAGGAATGGATATACAAGAGGGCAGGAAAAATCAAATAACAAAAGGGAAATACTCCTCCACCCCGAGCCCGGCAAACTCCAGGCAGTTCTGCGTCGAGCTATTGAGAAGAAGCGCTGCGGGAGCGCTACTGCGGTTCTGATCGCGGATTGCCGCCCTCCCCCATTCCCCTTGCACGTCCTGCGGCGCGCGCGGAAAATTAGACTGGCGAAAGACCCAACCATATGCAGTTGTAAGTAACGCAGTTGTGAATGTCACCTTCGGTGGAGCTCCTTATGGGGCCACGAAAAGTGCAAGGGGTGCGCCGCCGGGTGCGCCGAAGCGTTTTTTCCCCCTGCGCACCGCTGTGGGTCACATTTATGCGGGCGCGAATGTGCAATTTTCCGCCCGTACAAAGTCAGGCGTGCCGAAGTGGGTGTGGAGGGCGCATGTGGACGGGGCAGTGGGGCCTTCGATCGTCGTCGTCGTGGTCGTGGTCGTGGTCGTGGTCGTGGTCGCGGTCGTGGTCGCGGTCGTCGTCGTCGTCGTCGTCGTCGTCGTCGTCGTCGTCGTCGTCGTCGTCGTCGTCGGCTGGTTACGGACGGCGTTTGGTTACGGACGGCGTTTGGTTACGGGCGGCGTCCGTGACCAGACGTCGTCCGTAACCAGACGCCGTCGTCGTCGTCGTCGTCGTCGTCGTCGCCGTCGTCGGCGTCGTCGTCGTCTTTGTCGTCGTGGTCGTGGTCGAGGTCGTGGTGGCCCTTCGTCGTCGTGGTCGTGGTCGTGGTCGTGATCGTGGCCGCCGACCCGACCGGAAATTTCGAACTTTTCGGTTGGTCGGCCGCCCCGCCGTCGTCGTCGTCATCGGCATCATCGTCATCAACATGGTCGACGGCCGGGCGGGCGACCCACAGGAAAGTTCGAACTTTCCGGTGGGTCGGCCGCCCCGCCGTCGTCGTCGTCGTCTTCGTCACCATCGTCATCATCATGGTCGACGGCCGGGCGGACGACCGAACGGGAAGTTCGAACTTTCCGGTTGATCGGCCGCCCCGCGGTCGTCGTTGTCATCGTCATTATCGTCAACATCATGGTCGACGGCCGGGCGGACGACCGACCAGCAAGTTCGAACATTCCGGTTGGTCGGCCGGGCGCCCCACCGTCGTCGTCGTCGTCATCGTCACCATCGTCATCATCATGGTCGACGGCCGGGCGGACGACCGACCGGCAAGTTCGATCTTTCCGGTTGGTCGGCCGCCCCGCCGTCGTCGTCAGCATCGTCATCACGGTCATCATTCATGGTCGACGGCCGGGCGGACGACCGACCGGAAATTTCGAACTTTCCGGTTGGTCGGCCGCCCCGCCATCGTCGTCGTCATCGTCATCATCGTCATCATCATGGTCGACGCTCGGGCGGACGACCGACCGGCAAGTTCGAACGTTCCGGTTGGATGGCCGCCCCGCCGTCGTCGTCATCGTCATCATCGTCAACATCATGGTCGACGGCCGGGCGGACGACCGACCAGCAAGTTCGAACTTTCCGGTTGGTCGGCCGCCCCGCCGTCGTCGCCGTCATCGTCACCATCGTCATCACCATGGTCGACGGCCGGGCGGACGACCGACCGCAAAGTTCGAGCTTTCCGGTTGGTCGGCCGCCCCGCCGTCGTCGTCGTCATCGTCATCATCGTCATGATCATGGTCGACGCCCGGGCGGACGACCGACCGGAAAATTCGAGCTTTCCGGTTGGTCGGCCGCCCCGCCGTCGTCGTCGTCATCGTCATCATCGTCATGATCATGGTCGACGCCCGGGCGGACGACCGGCCGGAAAGTTCGAACCTTCCGGTTGGTCGGCCGCCCCGCCGTCGTCGTCGTCATCGACATCATCGTCATCATCATGGTCGACGCTCGGGCGGACGACCGAACGGGAAGTTCGAACTTTCCTGTTGGATGGCCGCCCCGCGGTCGTCGTTGTCATCGTCATCATCATCATGGTCGACGGCTGGGCGGACGACCGACCGGCAAGTTCGAACTTTCCGGTTGGTCGGCCGCCCCGCCGTCGTCGTCGTCATCGTCACCATCGCCATCATCATGGTCGACGGCCGGGCGGACGACCGACCGGCAAGTTCGAACTTTCCGGTTGGTCGGCCGCCCCGCCGTCGTCGTCGTCATCGTTATCATCTTCATCATCATGGTCGACGGCCGGGCGGACGACCGACCGGAAAATTCGAAATTTCTGGTTGGATGGCCGCCCCGCCGTCGTCGTCGTCCTCGTCATCATCGTTATCATCATGTTCGACGGCCGGGCGGACGACCGGCCGGAAATTTCGAACTTTCCGGTTGGTCGGGCACCCCGCCATCGTCGTCGTCATCGTCATCATCGTCATCATCATGGTCGACGGCCGGGCAGACGACCGACCGGGAAATTCGAACTTTCCGGTTGGTCGGCCGCCCCGCCGTCGTCGTCATCATCGTCATCATCGTCATCATGGTCGACGGCCGAGCGGACGACAGCCCGGCAAATTCGAACTTTCCGGTTGGTCGGGCGCCCCGCCGTCGTCGTCGTCATTGTCATCATCGTGGTCGACGGCCGCTGAAATTACTTCTAATGACCGCCCTGGCGGAGCCTCGTCGTCGTCGTCGTCGTCATCCTCCCCCTCTTCCTCGTCCTCGTCGTCGTCGTCGTGTTCGTCGTCGTCGTCGTCGTCGTCGTCGTCGTCTCTGTTCTTGGGACAGCCCACACCGCCATTCTCCGCCTAGAATCGACCGACACCCCCCACCACGCCTCCACCACGCCCCGACGTCGTCGTCGTCATCGGCCACGACCACGTTTGACCACGCCCTGTCATCGTTATCAAATGGAACGCCCTGGTGTCTACACGTGCGCTCATGCTACATAACAGCCAAAAGTACCACACGCAGTGTGGTACTTTTCTGTGGTGTCCCCGGGGCGCGGGCAGCCAAAAGTACCACGCGCAGCGTGGTACTTTTCTGTGGTGTCCTCGGGGCGCGGGATACTCCCAGTTATGATGGCGGCCATGGTGTTGATGCTGATGACGATGATGATGATAGTTATGATGATGACGACGAGGATGATAGGAGGAGAAAAGAGGGGGAGGAGCAAAAAGGAGGAGGAACGCGGGGGCACCGTCTCTTGAAAACGAGGGCCCAACACCACAGGATGGTTGGGAAAAAACTCCGCGCTCACCCCCCCTTTTTCCCGGCGGGAAAGGGGGGCGCCCCCTTCTCGTATTCGCGGAAAATCAACCATCCATGGAGCCCGTCTGTGTGAGATGCCTTTCCTTTGCTCCTCATTCCATCCCACCCCCTCCTCCTCCTCCTCCTCATCCTCCTCATCCTACCCCTCCCCTCACATAATATTCCCCGGCGTACTCTTGCAGCCGTGGCTCAGAAATCGTTGTGCCTGTCCCACAAGTGGTCGCGGCCGCGCATCTGGCAATGCGACACCAGGTACATGAAAAACCTGGCTGTTCACTTGTGCGCTACTCTTTCCCTGCCCCCCCCCGCCCCCCGCCGCCTCTCCCCCTGTTAGCTCCTGTCCTTCCTCCACGCCACGCCCTCATGTCACCAGACCCATTCTGTATCGTGCTCGTTAGCACTGGCATCGCGCAGCGAGGCACCTCGAAGCGGACACCATATGGTATCCATTCCCCACGGATGCGGTGGATGTGCTGGCGGCCGCCGTCGTCGTTCGAAAATACTTCGGGATGCAATGCATGTACTTGTCGTGCGCGCGCACGCCGGGTCCGCCACCGGGAGTCGAAGTCCCGCATGCAGCGCCCTCAGGTCCCCTCGAAATTCCCAAATTGACCATCGCAAGGGGTCTTCAGGGATTCCTGGACCTCTGAATTCTGGGCGTTCTGGGGCGCTCCTGCGAGCGCCCCGCATCGTATCCGACATTTCCGCAACGACCCAGAAAACGCCCCCAGACCGCCCAAACTTGGCATGGCAACCCTCGAAGCCCCCCTAAGAAGCCCAAGAGGGCCACGAGAAGAATCCGAATACGACACCGGCGGTGCGCATTTCTTCTCTCTGACCGTTTGATCACCCGCGGGCGTTTCATTTAACATCTCGCGGCTTAGCGCGAGCACTATACGCTAGCTCTACAATGCTTTGTTATCGGCCACGTGCCTAGTGCCTACTTATCGGCCGCGTGGCTGGGACATGGGGCTCGTTACACCCCGGGGAACAAAATTACGCGCAAGCGGGAATGAAGAATCATGGGGGCGCCTGGTCTACATTCCAGGCATGGCGGCGGGTTGGGCCAAAAGCCATCAGATACCGGCCACCCGTGGGCACATGCGAGGTCCTTCGGGGTGAAGAACCGGTCCTCTGCGGCACGGCATGCGTTCGCGAAGCCCGACCCTGCGTCACTCTCCACGAGGAGGCCCCGAGAAGAGTGAGCCCCCTGGTAGCCATCAAGCCATCATCCTTGTTCCCCCGTCCTCCTGCTCCCCGTCCTCCTCCCTCCTCCTTCCTCTCGGACCGCCTCGCTCTACTCCTCCCTCCCCCCATCCCCTCCTCCCCTCCTCCTCCCTCCACCACTACTCCTGCTGCTACGTTAATACTACTACTCCTACCACTACCACTACCACTACTACTACTACTACTACTACTACTACTACTACTACTACTACTACTACTACTACTACTACTACTACTACTACTACTACTACTACTACTACTACTACTACTACTACTACTACTACTACTACTACTACTACTACTACTACTACTACTACTACTACTAACTACTACTACTACTACTATACTACTACTACTACTACTACTACTACTACTACTACGACTACTACTACTACTACTACTACTACTACTACTACTACTACTACTACTACTACTACTACTACTACTACTACTACTACTACCACTACCACTACCATTACTACTCCCACTACTACTACGACTACGACTACGACTACGACTACTACTACTTCTACCACTACTACCATTAGTACTACTACTACTACTACCACTACTACTACTACTACCACTACTACTACTACTACGACTACGACGACTATTACTACAAAGACGAGGCAGACTACGAATACGACTACGACGACGACAACGACGACGACGACGAGGCGACGACGACCACTACTACTACTACTACTACTACTACTACCACTAATACGACTACTACTACTACTACTACTACTACTACTACTACTACTACTACTACTACTACTACTACTACTACTACTACTACTACTACTACTACTACTACTACTACTACTACTACTACTACTACTACTACTACTACTACTACTACTACTACTACTACTACTACTACTACTACTACTACTACTACTACTACTACTACTACTACTACTACTACTACTACTACTACTACTACTACTACTACTACTACTACTACTACTACTACTACTACTACTACTACTACTACTACTACTACTACTACTACTACTACTACTACTACTACTACTACTACTACTACTACTACTACTACTACTACTACTACTACTACTACTACTACTACTACTACTACTACTACTACTACTACTACTACTACTACTACTACTACTACTACTACTACTACTACTACTACTACTACTACTACTACTACTACTACTACTACTACTACCACTACTCCTACCACTACTACGACTACTACTAGTACTACTACTACTACTACTACTACTACTACTACTACTACTACTACTACTACTACTACTACTACTACTACCACCACCACTACCACTACTACTACTACTATTGCTGCGGCCGAATCCTGCAATTACCTTCCCGCATCACGGGGCCCACGGATTGGGGCTCATGATGACGTGTCGATGGGTACCAAACGTACCCCGCATCTATTCCTCGGGCCCCCCAGGGCCAAGTTCGCCATGAGGCTTGTCACCTGTTAACCATGAGGCTTGTCACCTGTTAGCTTTGAGGCCCGCCACCTGTTTGCCCTGAAATTTGCCATGCGTTACCCTGGAGGCCTTTTCTACCTGTTGTATCCGACGCCTGTCACATGTTAGCCAAGAGGTCTGCCACCTGTTCCCTCGGACGCCTGTCGCTTGTTAGCCCTGAGGCCTGTCACCTGTAAGATCCGAAGCCTGTCACGTGTTAGCCCCGAGCCTTCTACCTGTAAGCTCCAAAGGCTGTGACATGCTAGCTCCGGCGCCGGTCACCAGTTACCCCAGAAGCCTGTCACCGGGTAGCCCGGAGGCCTGTCACCTGTTAGCCTGAGGCTCGTCACCTGTGACACTCGGGAGACCTGGGGATTTGGCGGCCGCGGAATGCAGGGCGGGGGGCAGGATTCTCAGGGATTTTCGGGTGACCTGGGGATCTGGCGGCCGTGGTATGCAGGGCGGGGGGCGTGATTCTCTCGGATTTTCGGACGACCTGGGGATCCGGCGGCCGCGGTACGCAGGGCGGGCGGGTCGGGAGGTCTGTCCTTAAAATGGAATATCCCCAACCTGTCGGACGGGGAACACGTGGGATCAACATAAACCTTGCCACTGGAATCCGCATCCTCCTCCCCTCCCCCCGTCGCCCTCCCCGCCCCCCCGGCCCCCTCCCCCCTCCTCGCCTTTCCTCTCGCCTCTCCCTCCACCCCTCTGTCGTTATTCGCCCGCTCTGGTCCCCCTCGCATCGTCGGGCCCCCCCCCCGAGCGGGGCGAGGTCCTGAGAGAAAGAGAAGAACAACGAACTCGTGGTTGCTGCAGGTAGCGCGTCGCCGCCGCGGACGCAGTACTTCGGGTTCTGGGAGATGTCGGCGGCGAAGCACGAGTGCTTCCAGGACACGAGGTGCACCTTCTTCAGGAGCTGGGCGTGTTTCAAGTAGCACTCCGACAAGCACGCGCCGAGGGGGACCGTGTGGCCAGGGCGCGGGTACAAGCCACGCTTTGCCGCCAACGCATTGCAATGCGCCTTCTCCTCGTCCGCGGAAGACACCAGATACGCATCGCATAATGGCGGCGCTGGGGGCGGCTGCCCGTCCGTGCCGTGCCCGAAGATGGCGTCGAACTGGGCCTGCTGGTCCTCGGCCCCCACCGCGCCTGACCAGATCACCGTGGAAACCTTGAGCGCCGCCTGCCACCGGCGCTTCCTCTGGACGCCCCAATCCGAAAACGGATTCAACACCAAGTCGACGAACACGTACTCCCCCTTGGACTTGAAAGCGTCCTTGAACATATGTGCTGGCATGTCCGGGCTGTTCTCCATGATGATGATGTCGGCCGCCAGGTCCCCCAACTGCTCCGTATAGATGTTCCAGGGCTCGGCGGACGGATCTGCCAGCCCGAGCCTGGCGGGATAAGGGGCCGCAGCGGCCGGGAACGAAAACACTGCTGGAAATTTAATCGGTTCGCATCCGAAATATCGAATCGCCTGGCGTCATCGTGGCAGCGTGACAATCACACGCCGCTGATGTGATTATAAAGTTTGGGGGGACAACCGAAAGAAAATGAACTGGATGGCTTGGACGGGTCTGGTTTAGGCTTCTATATATGTGTGCGGGAAGGAAGAAATAGTGAGATACTGAAGGTGAGAGAAGTCCTACGTAATCCATGTGAGCTCCACTGCGTAATGCCGCGCTTCCCCGATCAAGGAAAGTCGCCGTGGCATCATTACTCGATGGATTGGTGGGGATACACGGCGCGCCTATACAAGACCGACCCTACTTTGAAAGAGGGGCGCTTGAAACCACAGGGGCGAGCTGGGGCCCGAGTGTCCACCAGAAACAAAATGCCACCCGAAGGCCCATGCATTCGCCACCCCAGGAATGAAAACCCGAGTGGTAAGAAGCCTGGGCCGCCAACAAGCCACACGCTGGCTTGAAATGCTTTCTATTGAACCACTGGGGCACAATTTCCAAAAAACGGGGTCTCCCCCCTCCATATCGCGGGATGGACATCGACATCGCCAACGTTTCGAATGACCTGGGAACCCAGCGCCCCACCTTGTCCAAGCAACGCACTGCGGCCCGGACCAATGAACGCTAAGTGGGCGCTGCTTTGAGTCCACGGCGCTGCTCGGCTGAAACTGCCATGGGCAAGTCGCCCCGGGATGCAGCAGACACGCCCCTGCCGGAAGATATCGACTTTTGAAAACATCCTTGCAGACCGTGGACAAGTACTTCTTCTGCTTCAGGTAATGCTTCTCCACTTGTTTCCGGAGGCCCTGTCGGGGGGATGCTGTGCCAGGCCCAGGCCAACTCCACCGTGTCCAACCCCCTTACCTCCCCGCCGCATCCCCCTCCTCCTTCTCCGACCCCGCCCCCCTCATCCCCCTCCTTCTCGTCTTCCTACTCCTACGCCTCATCTTCCCCCCGTCTCATTCGAAGGCGGGGAGGCGGGGCGAATGTGAAGAGGGGGATGGGGCGTCGCAACTGCCAACGCGCGCCTGCATGCAAGGCCGTTACAGGAGGAGCGAAGCGGTGAAGACTTGTCCAGAATTCCTTTCTGGATGGGCTGGCTGGGATGTCTGGGCGGGCGACGCCTCAAGATTTGCATTGCTGGGTGTAGGTTCCCACCAGGCTCCGACTCAAGGCCGATTCGATTGGCAAGATAACTTCCCCAGGTCGCTCGCGCGGCACCGATGTGCGCGCACACGCGCTAACGTGCGCGCAACAAAAGAAATCAAGTTGGAACGTGAGCTGGCGACAGAGGATAAGAACCATGGAGCTTCAGAACCAAATGTGAAGCCCCCGCCTCGTCGCGCCTCAACTTGGGCTTGCCAACTTCCAGCAGCCGCTCGGGGGGCCTTCGAGCGATGAGGCCTCTCTGCACGGCCAGGGGCAACTTCGCCCCGATACCTTTGATGACGTGCACGCACTCCGATTTCATCACGTCGATGGAACGTTTGGTCACGTCGCTGCCGCACCACGAGACGTGATTGTTTTCCGTCACCCCTGGCACTCCAGCCAACCTCATGCCGCACATCGTGAGCTTCGTGGCCGTCTCTGCCCCGAGCTCTCCCGAGTAGTCTGCCGACCCCAGAAGGGCCACAAAAACGATAGCAGGCGCAGTGCAGCACAGCAGGCTCGCTCCAGGGGGCCCTCGACTGCCTCGGACGGGGGGCTCGAAGGAGGCCCGGACCCCAAAATGTCACTATCAACATGTCTGGGGCAACTTTGCGAACGCAGCCCTCGACAAACTGAGACGCCCGCAGAGCGGCCCTCAAGGACCCCCGAAGACCGCGATGGGGTCGCTCACACCGTACCGCGCCACCAGCCTATTCCAGGATGCCTCAAAGGTAGCTCATAAGGCCCCCTCGGGACCCGAGAGGGCCTTCAACGAAACGACGGGGCCCCGCGAGGGGCCTCGAATGTTCGTGGAAGAGAAACAACCACATGCAGAGAGCCCCTCACGGGGCCCCGTGAGGGGCCTTTGCATAAGAGAAACAGAAAGAAAGAGACATATACAGAGAGGCGGAGTAAGCAGCAGCAGCAGGGAGGTGAGATTTCGCGTGCGCGAAGCGCGTTGTATCCGAGCTCACCACCAAACCTGTCTCGAGCATGCCGGCGCCCAAGTTGCGGCGCAACTTCGAAGCAGGCCCTGTGAAGAAACACCTCGTGGCTTCGTGCCGCGGCCAATCCAATATCCGCTCGGGCAAATCGGGCACGGGCACGCCCTTCACCGAGGGCCTCTTGCCGGGCCAATCCGTCGCAGGAGTGGCCTCCCCTCGCCGGCTCTCGTTCCTCCCCTCTCCCGTGCCACTGCCCGATGTCTCCTCCCTCTCTCGTTCCTCCCCTCTCCTCTCCCCTCTCGTTCCGCCCAATGCCCGCTACCCCCGTGCCACTGCCCCCCTTCCCCTCCACGCGTGCCAGCCGCCGCAAGCCAGTCACCAAAGACAGGTTCTGGGCAGCCGCGGGGTCCCTGGCCGGCGAACACGGCACGGGCACGATGCCCGCCGCGGGGGCTGCCACCTCGGGGGTCAGCGACGCTGGCAAATCAACGATAGAAGTTGTGATATGGGGGGGCAGGGTATGGAATTGACCTGAAATACGTCGTGCTGCGTTGTGTCTGTTGTTGCTGGCGTGTGCTGACAGATTGCTGTTGCTGGTCGTGTTTGCTGTGTGCCGTTTCTTTCTGACGGGGTGCGTGCTGCGCCATGTCCAAACCATTATGTTGTTGTGGGTCCTCGAAAAAGCCTCAGCCAGGCTCCAAGGGTGCGTCGCCGTCGGCGCAAACGCTGGGAGGTACCCCCCCCGCTCTTTCTTCCAGGCCCCCCTTTCACAAAGGGTTAAGAAAGGCACGGAAGCTCGCACAACACATTTTGAACCAAACGGGCGCCCTGGCCGGGCAATCGTTGTCACCGGTAGCCCCTGGTAGCGACGCTTGCGGGGGGGGGGGATTCGTGAAATTTCCAGTTCCTCATCCAAGTGGTGGGTCTAATTTGTTAAGCCCTGTCCCGAACGCGTGGCCGATGCCAAAGGGGGGTGGGCAAGGGATTGGGGGGGCGTTTTGCTAACGGGACACTCCTTCACAACGGGGCTAAGCTCGGACACGCCGGACAAAGACGCAACAAAGTAGAACCAAGCAGTCAAGCAAACCCTTGCAAGTATCAGAACGAAGGTCCCCCAAGAGACTCGAACAGCAGATCCTCCGATGGAGGGGCCCCAGGAGGTCTGATGACCATGGATGGGGTCTTGGCACTTGGGGGCGCTGGCTACCAGGGAGGGGCCAGACGATGCCTGAAAACTCGCCAGAATTCCTTCGGGGAAGACGCTTTGCAAAAGCAGCGGGGCGCAAATAACACTCACACGTATTTCTTGCCCCCAGGCGTGGCCTCCATCATGGCCCGAAAGAGCAATATGTAGCACCCCCCCAAGGAGACGTAACAATCAACAAGGACCTGAGGCAGACGTAAAGGACGTATGCCGCCACCCCGCCATGTTGGCAAACCCCTTGCACGTTTCGTGGCCCCACAAAGGGGCTCCACCGAAGGGCCAAATAGGAAAGGACTGATGCCGCCACCCCGCCATTTTGCCACGCCCCTCACACGTTTCGTGGCCCCACGGAGAGCTCCACCAGAGGCCCCAATGGGGAAGGACGTATGCCGCCACCGTGCAATCTTGGCACGCCCATCGCACGCTTCGTCGCCCCATGGGGCGCTAAACAGCAGGCCCCGATTGGAAAGGACGTATGCCACCACCCCGTCATTGTGGTACACCCCTCAAACGCTTCGTGGCACCATCGGGAACTACGCCGAACACGCGCAAAAAGGCTTATGCCGCCGCCCCGTCCTCATGGGGATACGAAACGTGTGAGGCATGTGCCGAAACGTGCGAGGCATGGCCCAGAACGCCGGGCGCTGCCTCTTCCCGACGAAGATCCAATACCACAGGATGGTTAAGGAATTAGCCTGGCGAGGGACCCAAACATACGCTGTTGTGAAGACCGCAATTGTGAATGGCGCTCCCTCTGAGGCCACGAACTGTATGAAAGGTGTGCCGAATTCAAAGTACGTGACGCATGCGGGCGGTGACACTGGGGCCATCGGTGGAGCTCTTTGCGGGGCAACGAAACGTGTGAGGGTGTGCCGAGAGAATGTACGTGACGCATGCGGGCGGTGGCACTGGGGCCTTCGGTGGAGCTCTGGCCACAAAACACCGACTTGAATGTTGCGGGCGGTGGCACTGGGGCCTTTGGTGGAGCTCCCTATGGGGCCGCGAAAACGTCTGAGGGGCGTGCCGAATTGTATGTAAATGGCGCGCGCGGGCGGTGACACTGGCGCCTTCGGTGGAGCTCTCTGTGGACCCACGAAATGTGTGAGGCGTGTTCCGACGTGTGTGTGCATGACGCATGCGGGCAGTGGCAATGGGGCCTTCGGTTGAGCTCCCCATGGGGCCGCGAAGCGTGAGAGAATATGTTGGTGACGCATGTGGGAGGTGCCGCTGGGGCCTTCGGTGGAGCTCCCCATGAGGCCACGAAACGCGTGAGGGGTGTGCAAAATCCACTGAAGGAGACGCATGCAGGCGGTGGTACTGGGGCCTTCGGTGGAGCCCCCATATGGGAGCGCGATGCGTATGAGGGGTGTGCCGAATTGTGTGTGGGTGACGCATGCGGGCGGTGGCACTGGGGCCTTCGGTGGAGCTCTCTGTGGGGCCACAAAATGTGTGAACGGTGTGCCGAATTGAAGTTGGTGACGCATGTGGGCGGTGGCACTGGGGCTTTCGGTGGAGCTCCCTTTGGGGCCACGAAGCGGGTGAGGGGTTTGCCGAATTGAATGTAGGTGACGCACGCGGGCAAAAGCACTGGGGGCTTCGGTGGACATCCTATGGGGCCACGAAACGTGTCAGGATTGTGCCGAATTGGGTGTACATAACTCATGCGGGCGGTGGCAATGGGGCCTTCGGCGGAACTCCTTACAAGGCCACGAAACATGTGAGGGGTGTACCGAATGGGGTGTAGGTGACGCGTGCGGGCGGTGGCACTGGGGCCTTCGGTGGAGTTCCCTATGGGAGCGCGAACCCTGTGAGGGGTGCGCCGAATTGAGCGTAGGTGACGAATGCGGGCTGTGGCACTGGGGCCTTTGGTGGAGCTCTATATGGGGCCGCGAAATGTTTAAGGGTGTGCCGAATTTGCTGTAGGTGACGCATGCGGGCGGCGGTACTGGGGCCTTCGGGGGAGCGCCCTATGCGGCCACGAAGCGTGTGTGTAAGGTGCCGAATTGCGCGTCGGTGACGCGTGCGGGCGGTGACACTGGGGTCTTCGGTGGAGCTCTATGTGGGGCCGCGACATGTGTGAGGGTGTGCCGAATTGGGTGTACATGAGGCATGCGGGCGGTGGAAATGCATGGGCCCTTCGGTGGAGCTCCCTATGGGGCCGCGAAACGTGTGAGGGTGTGCCGAATTGGGCGTAAGTGACGCATGCGTGCGGTGGCACTGGCGCCTTCGGTGGAACTCCCTCTGGGGCCGCGAAACGTGCGAGGGGTGTGCCGAAGCTGATGCCGAAACTGATGGCGATTATGGTGACGATGATGATGACGGGGGAAGGAGGGGGAGGAGGAGGAGGAGGAAGAGGAAAAGGAGGAAGGGGATGACAAAGGAGAACGAATGAGTATGTGAGTGGGCGAATGAATGAAGAGACGCGGGGCGCTGTTTCTTCAAAACGAAAACCCAGCATCTCAATATGGTTCGGAATACTTGAAAAAATGCGGGAGTCCGGCGCGACCGCCCTGACGCCATCCAAACCGCCTGGCCCCCCTTCCCTCTTCCGAAATGCCGCCCAGCCCTCGGCAATTTCCGGAAATCGGCAAATAACACAAGGGTCCCCACCCCATGTCCGAACAATACAAAAAAACACAACAATTTCTTCTTCAACCCGCTTCCAACAATTGGGGTATCCCTGCGCCCTTTCTTCCCAATCCCAAAACGACAGCGCTTTCAATTTTGATCCAAATCCATTGCGCATTGACGCAGCGACGATACAATCCCCCGGACGTGGAAAATGAAAAAAATATAACCAAACCCACCCGAACTCGCTAAAACCCTTCGGAACCGCACTTGGCCCCTCCGGATGCCGTCAGAATAACCGAAACTCTACATAAATGCGCGGTCAAATTGTTTTCCGCTCCGAACCCCACAGAACACCCGAAAACACTCCCGAACACACCGATCCTTCTCCTGGCCGCTCTCAACCCAATCTCACTCCACAATCCCCCCCCCCAAACACCCCAATCCTCGCCCGCAACCGCCCCGCAACCCTTCGCACTCTGGTACACGCCCCGAAACGCCGCAAAATGCCTCGAACCTCCCCGACGCCCCCCTGGCCAACCCGAACGTGAGGAATCCCGGGGGCGCCCCGAGGCGCTCTGTGGCAGACCTGCAGCAGACCTGCGGCAGACCTGCGGCGGACCTGCGGCAGCCTGCGGCAGCCTGCGGCAGACCTGCGGCAGCCTGCGGCAACCTGCGGCAGACCTGCGGCAGACCTGCGGCAGCCTGCGGCAGACCTGCGGCAGACCTGCGGCGACCTGCGGCAGCCTGCGGCAGACCTGCAGCACCTTCTGGTGGGCTGTTGCTGGGCCCAGACCCCTCCCTCCCGGGCTGCCTCATGGCTTTCGGCGGACTCCAACCAATTTCGTATGATTCTGAAAAAACAAAAGGTTCTGGTGGATTCTGAGCACGCCTGAGGGATCCTGGGTACTTCTGTGGGATCCTGGCGGCTTGTGCGACATCCTGCAGGATTCTGTGTGCTTCTTGTGGGATCCTGCAAGATCTTTTGTGATTCTGAAGGAAACATGCGCCTTCTGGCAATTTCTGAAGGATTCCGCAGGTTTGGTTTGATTTTTCAGGATCCCGAACGATTTTCCCGGTTCTGAGCAATTCCGGTGGATTTTGTGGGATTCTGTCGGATTCTAAGGATTCAGAACGATTTTCAATGATTCTAGAGATTCTGAAGGTTTTGGTAACTTATACAAAAATTTAAAAAGATTCCAACGACTTCGTCGCCCGCAGAGAGGGAAATGGCCATCAGAAATTCGGAATTGGGAGGAATCCTTATTGCCATCCACCATTAGATCGGAAGCGCGCGGGCGCGCGTACGCGCGCCCGCGCACCTTTTTGGAAATCCGTTATGAAAGATTTGGGACACCATGGTTGCCGCCGAGTCATGGACACGTGCAAGAAGGCGCGCCCGTGTGCTCGCAGATCGTCCGCAAAAGAAACAAAAAATAAATGAAAAAATCCCTGTGCGCTCTGAAACTTCCGCGAAAACATTCCAAATTTGGGAGGAATCACAATTTCTTCCGCGGGTCAAACCAAAAAAATGGCAGGCGCGCGGGCGCGCGTACGCGCGCCCGCGCGCGCCCGCGCGCTTTGGAATCTCTCCTAAAATGTCCGACGAATTAAAGAACCGCAATTGCTTCTGCGGGAGAAACGTTGCAAAGGGAGGCGCGCGCGGGCGCGCGTACGCGCGCCCGCGC